ACTACTGAGCTGCATCCCCAGCTCAGCTTCATCAGTTTTTAAGTTTACTTTCAAAAAAAGGGATTTAGGTGACTGAAGTTTGGGTTGCCTGTTTTAACAGTTTGTAGCCAGACAGCCTCCATATACTGTGTTGTTATACTTTTCATCTAGTCATAAAACTCTGTGGCCTCTCAAGCCAGATGTGGTGGCACAAGCCTGTAATCCCAGTGCTCAGGAGGCTGAGGCGGGATGAATGCCATGAATTTGAAGCCATCCCATGCTACGTAATCAGACCCTGTCTCAAAAAAAAAAAAAGGAAAGAAAGAAAGACAGACTTGAAAGAATCTTGTGGCTTTCCTTAGCAATTCATATTGGGTATTCATAGAAAAAAGCAATTTAAATCATTTAATTTTATTTTACATATATGTATGTTTATACCCCCATTGTAGTACCACCATAGAGAGTGTTAACATGTGGGAATTTTTTCTTCCATTATTTTTATATTTCCATGTATATGTTACTTTTGTATTGATGAGAACACTTCTGGGTATAGAATTTTACATCGTCCTTTAGTAGTATGCCTATTTAAAATGCTTTATAAACATGTTAATGTCTTACAGTGAGCCAGTATATAAGGATATTATAAATTAATCATCCCTTCTTGTCACACATTTTTCATGATGAGATGAACTCTTAAATGACTACCTTTAGGATAACCAACAGGAGTATAATTTCTATGGTCATCTTTAGATTTATTTCCTTTAATGTATGGTAGGTTCTGAATACTTCTAACATATTAAATACATATTTTCCAGTTGCACTGCACAAAAGATAGGGTCTTTGCTAGCCCCTATGGTGTCCCTGTTCAGGTGGTAAACTCCTGGGCAAGTGTAGTCCTGGGTGGCCAGTCTTGGGATCTGCCTATTTATAATCTGTGGGTGCCTTGCTGCAGTGGTCAGCCACACTCAGAATAGAAACCCCCATTTATATTTCTCCAATAGCATACAGAGAAAATTTTCTATAACTTTTAATGAATAGCATGAGAATTTAACCTGCTTTTTAAAAAAAATTTTAGTCAATTTTCCAAATACCATGTTTTACATAATCTTTCTGTTCCCTACATTAGATTCTCTGTTTTACTCTGATAAAAATATTTTGTTGAGTTTTAAAACAGTGACTGTACTCTTAATATAGTTGAAAACCAGTTTGTTCATTAGATATATTTTTGTTTCACTGCTCACATTTGCTTTAATTAATGTATTCTTAATGTACTAATTTTAACATTGAAGTTATTTCTTCTTTGCAACTTAAATCAAAGTGGACTGGGCAGGCTGGGGATTTGGCTCGGTAGCATAGTGCTTGCTTGGCGAGTGCAAGGTCCCAAGTTCCATTCCTGGTACCAAAAAAACAAACTAACAGACAAAACAAAACAGAGTGAACTAGACAAAGGCTGATTTCTTTAGGACCATCCATTTACAGATAACTGGAATTCTAGATACTACATGTAACAGACACTTTCCACTACTTTTAAGAAGTTAACCTTTTCTCTTTTTGTTTATGTTTTTTTAGGGTCTATTGTCTCATATACTTTCTGCATTCAGACTTGATATAAAAGAAATTGGTCTTTTTACTCAGGGTCTTGGGTATGAGCCTGCAGATTATTATCCTGCTTTGCTTAAAAATGTAAGTATATTAAATGTATTAATATTGAAATTTTCATTGTTGAATGTACCATCAGCCAAAGGATAAATGGAAACATTTCATCCTCTCAGGGAATTGTTTAATTTTTCTTTGTTTATCTCTTCTTACCTTGATGAGGCTTATACCCATGGAAGGAAAAATTGAGAGGTGGGAGGTTATGAGAAAAAAGAAGGAAACCAGGAAAGCTTTTAGTCAACCTCTCTTTCTTATAACACATCTCACTCATTTAAAGATTTTGGAGACAAGAGAATTTCTAAACTAGGAGCACAGTCTTACACTCTTGGACAAATCTTGTATTTAAAATAAACTTACTGGAATTTATGTTAAAGCATGGCAAAAATTAAACCTTATAAATAGTATTACATGTTTATATCTTAGTATTTAAGCTATGTTTACTTCTGCATATAATTTTATCCAAATCCAAGAAATTGAAATTTATTATCTTTATGTAACTCCCAAAAATGTTATGAGATTTTTAATGTATGTTAGCCATTTTAGTTTGGAACTATTATTATGAAAAGTTTTTAAAAATAAACAATAAGTGAACTGCATTTTTAACTCTACATGGATTCAGTTTTAATTTTTAGGAAATTAATGATCTGCCTACTGTTCATTCCCTAGATAAGAATGAAAAAAATAAACACTAAATGTGAAGTTACTTTATTAGTAAATATAATTTGGTACTGCTTTCTTTTCACTCTAAAAAAATAAAGCATAAGAGAAGGTATGGGGAAAGAATCCCAACGGAAATATCACTCACCAAGAAAAATATAACTGATGTAATCCTGTTTGCAGTTTGAGTTAACCTGCAACTGATTTTGTTTCACAGATGGTTTTATCATTAGTGTCCAAACTGAGAGAGAGTCATCTTAATGGATTTAACACTCGAAGGCGGTAGGTGTTAAACTAAACATCTCTCTTCTCCAGTTTCAAAATGTATCAGCTCAGTTATGAAAGAAAAATGCTCTAATTCATAGGAAATGCCTGTTCATAGGTGTGGTTATATTCTGTATAGAAAGATTATTTTAGTGGAATACATACCAAATTTGTGAGTTTTTGCAAACTTTCTTTTTACTCACTATTCTCTCAATTTTCATGGAGCAATAAGCAAATTATGCAACATCTTTCGTGTACCCTTTAGGTAAAAGACTCTTACATACATAGTAAAGAATACAAATGCAAAAGACCCACTGTGGCTCACCCTGGAATTTCTTACTGTGTAAGAGAAGAATGTGTACAAATGCACCTAACTGCTCGTACTCTGCTCCCTGCCACTGTGAGTGTGTATGTGCACACAGGATATTTACAAGGCAACAATAATTTGATGTGTGCATCTGACCTATTTTAGGAAACATAATGTTCCAAAGCCTAGACTAAACAAATCTAATAGATTCAGACAAAGTAAAAGGCGATTAATCACATTAAAAGATTTCACTCTGTGAAGGTACTCAGAGTTGTTTTCATTGGTGAACATTTCATTTTTAATAAATCATTAACCAAGGGAACCTGGGGATTGAGGAACTTTTGTGAATTTTTTTTAAGCCACTGCCAAATAAAGCTGTATCAAAAATGGTCTTTGGAAGCCGGGCATGGTGACATATGCCATAATTCCAACACTTGGGAAGCTGAAGCAGGAGGATTGCCATGTAGGAGTTAGTGAGTTCAGTGCCAGCCTGGATGGAGTACATAGACTTTGTTTTAAAAAAGAAACAAACAAGAAAAGGTTTTTGCTCTCTCAGATTTAGGAATTGCATCTAATCCTTAAACTATGAAATTCTTAGAAGAAAATATAAGGAAAAATTCTCATGACATTGTATTTGATAATGATTGTTTTTAGAAATGTCACCTAGGATTGGGGAGATAGCTTGGTGGTCTAAGCGCCTGCCTGGCAAGCACAAGGACCCAAGTTCAGTCCACATGCTGTGCCATACCCTGAAGCCCGGATGTGCAGTGCCGCCTGGAAACTGAGTGTGGTGGTGCACGTTGATAATCCTCATGCTGGGGAGGAGACTAGAGGATCACTACAGGAGTCTGAACTGCATAGTGATACCCTGTACCAAATAAATAAATAAACAGGTAGAAGTGTCACGTAAAGTATTATCAACAAAGAAAACTAGATAAATTGGACTTAATTAAAATTAAGAACTTTTGACCTAAGAATTTATGTAGTTCATTGATAAAGTACTTACCTAGCATTTGTGACCCATGTTCAGTCCCAGTGCCACACCCTAAAAAGAGATAAAAGACTTGAGTAGACATACCTCCAAAGAAGATACACAACTGACTAGTAAGTGCACAAGATGCTGGCTATCACTAATTGTTAGGGATATAAATTAAAGTTGAATGAAATTCTACTTTATTCCCACATGATGACTATAATAACAATTTAAAAAAAGCTGAGAAGTAACAAATGTTGGTGAGGGTACAAAGAATTTGGGAAATGCTGCCAAAAAATGATAAACAGGAGTTTAGTATTTTCCCCAAAAAAAGTTGAACACAGAATTACTGTGTCACCCAGAAGACCCAGTGCTATAGGTGTTTATATCCAAAGGAACTGAAAGTGGAACTTCAACAAGTATCTATATACCAAGGCTCATTAGCAGCAGTCGCTAAAAGGTAGAAACACCTCAAGTACCTTATCAACAGATGAGTGGGTAAAAAAGAGATTAGATAGATAGATAGATAGATAGATAGATAGATAGATAGATACATAGACAGACAGGTATTAGAATACTGTGCAGCTAAAAAAAAGAATACAAGTTTTATATATGTAAAAATATAGGTGAGCCTTAAAAGCTTCATTGAAGCTTAGTAAAATAAGCTAGACAGAGAAGATAAATGTTTTAAATCCACTTAAACATTAAGTGTTTAAGGATAGGCACATTCATAGAGACAGAAAGCAGAACAGAGATTACTAGGAGCTGGAAAGAAAAGGAAAAAGTGGAGTTTTAAAAAAGTATACAAAGAAAGTATATACATTGTAGATGATTAAAATTTTAGAGCATAAAATAGTAATGAGAAGACAGCACATGAATACATTTCATGTCAGCACATGGTTATCATGTACAAATACCTAACTATTCTGTTTTACCACAGTAAAAGTTAAACAAGAAAAAAACCAAATGTGACATCACTCTGCTTATTCCCTCAAACAACTAAAATTTAAAACACCTAAGTGTGTGTTATGATGTGAATTCTTTACATACTGCTTATGAGACTGTGACATCATGTACCTGCTTTGGTAAACAATGTGTCACTTTCTTATAGAATTAAACATTTGCCATGCAACTAACCAGTTCCCCTATTTAGTATTTACTCATAGCAAATAAAAACATAAGTACTCACTAAGATTTGTACATGAATCTTAGTGATGTACATGAAGGTTCAGAGTTGCTTTATTTGTAATGGTTCATACCTAGAAATAATCAAAAAACAACCAACAAATTTTTAAAAGTCTCTTATCAATGTTTAAAAAATGAAAAGATAAAATCATAGAGTATGAGAAGATATTTTCAAATCATTCATCTGGTAAAGGACCGTTATCTGGAACATATGAAAAACTCAATGGTAGGAAGACAACCAACTTAATAATAGGCAAAACATTAAAATATACATTTCTCAAAAAAGTATATATAATGATTAAACAACCATTGTTGGTATATTACTATTCATAGCATTATTTATATGTAATAGGCAAAAAAGTACAAGCAGCCTAAATGTCCATCAGCTCATAAATAGAAATACCAAGTACGGTGGCACATGCATGCAATCCCAGTACTGGGGAGGCTGAAGCAGGAGGATCATTGTGAGTCTGAGACCAGACTGGGCTACAAAGTGAGTTCAAGGCCAGCCTGAACTGCATAGCAAGACTCTGTCTTGAAAGAAAGAAAAGAAAGAAAGATAGGTAGGTAGGTAGGTGGGTGGGATTCCTTAAAATAGACAGTATGTTCAATAAGAAGGAACAGATCACTGCTGCAACGTGGGTGAGCCTCAGAAACGTGCTGAGCAAAAGAAGCCATGCACAAAAGACTACATGTTGTGATGATCCCATTTGCATGAAATGTTCAAAACAGGCAAATATAGAGACAGACACTAAATTAGTTGTCTGCATCTGGGGGTAGAAACACAGATTTTCTGCAAATGAATACCAAAGATTTTTTTGTAAGGTAATGAAAATGTTCTAAAACTAGATGGTGGTGATGGTTTTTCAGCTTGGTAAATTTATTACACATCATTATTAGGACATGTGAAATAGGTAATTTTTATGGTATTAATATGTACATAAAAAATAAGACTCTCTAGGGGGCTTGAAGAAATTTATTTATGTATCAAGTAAAGACTTTGATTTAGCTGTGAGGTGAATATTAAATAATGAATCTTCTGAATCACTAAACATTTTAAAAATAAATTTAAAAAGTGCTAAGATGCAATGTGTATGTACCTTGTACACCAGACTCCCAAAATATAGAGCTGATAATTTTTTAAAAATCAGCTAAGGATAAACATCATCAACATCATCATAAAACTGTTAACAAGTAGATGAGCTGTCATAGACTTGGAAATAGTTTGGAACCTATAAAATTGATCAAACGATTAGTATTCAAAATACAGAAATGACTTCTGCAAACCAGTCATAAAAAGGCAAACACTGTAGTTTGGAAATAGGCAAGGAACATAAGCAGCCACTGCCAAAAGAGGAAAATTGAATAAATAATAAACATTAAAAAATTATTCAGGAGTGACAACAGAAAAATGGCAGAATAGAAAGCACAGATCTTATTCTCACACAGGGATATCAGCTTAACAAAATATGGCCAAGAAAGCCTCACTGAGAACTCTAAAAACCAATAAAGAAGAAGTTGCCAGACTACAGATGAGCTCAGAGTCAGAAATGCCTACATCAAAATTGGTAAGAAAAGATATTCCTATCAACAGTGATAACTCAGCACAGCTTGACAAGATTGAAAGGAGCCCAATTTATTTCTCCCTTGAGAGGAAAAGAGTCATGTGTGGATCCAGCATATCAGCTTTTGGGGGAATGCTCCTGTGGAAAGCCAGTATGCTTCAGATGCCTGAGGGTCACAGAGAATACAAGAAAGCTCAGTGGTTTGGTCTAGTGCTGAGACCTGACAGTGATGTAGAGGATAGCTGGCATGGTTCAGTAGGCTTGAGAGAAAGTGCAGAGCTTGTGGCTTTTCTCTAGGGAGAAAAAAAAAGAATGGGACATGTGTCTGGCATTCTGGCTCTCCTGGGGCATACCAGACAGATTGGCTCTCTCTTGAGTGCCTATAGGATGGGCAGGAGACTGATGTACTTTGGAACCCTGGGGCCATGAAATACTAGAGAATTCAGCAGGCAGTTGTGGCACCAGAGAATCAACAGTACCACAAACAGACACGAGAGGGAGCAAAAAGATTATAGGCTCTTAAAAAATAAAACAGTAAAGCTCTCTAATTGAAAAATTACATTCACAAGCCCAGAGAAGACACAATGGTGGAAAAGACCCTGAGGGATTCCCAAAGACACTAGCTGCAGTGATTGGTGAAGCTCTTCCTTTTATATATCCGATCTGGAAAGACAAGAAGCGATTGGGTTTTTTCTTTTTCTTATGTATAAAAGAACAAAAATAACACACAAAGAAAAAAGGAGTCATGACATAATCCTCAAAAGTGACAGGTCTATGAATTACCTGACAAATGATTCAAAATAATTATCTTATAGAATCTCACTACAAAAGAACCCAGGTAAACACTTACGTGAATATCAGGAAAACTGACACTGAAGAATATAATAATTTGAGCCAGCCATGATGACACATTCCTTTAATCCCAGCACTCTGGGAGGCTGAGACAGAAAGACTGCAAGTTCAGCCAAGCCTGGGGAATTTTATAGAC